TTTCTTTCTTTCTTTCTTTCTTTCTTTCTTTCTTTCTTTCTTTCTTTCTTTCTTTCTTTCAGCAAGAACAAAAAATGCAGCTCAGCATGATTAAAGACTGAAACCATGAGTGGGAGCTGGTTTGTCATGGGACTCAAACGTAAACAAGGAAGATTTGTGATTTGAGAGAAATTCTTTAATAACCAAAAACAAGCAGTAAAAGAAAAAACAATAAATGTAGAAATATGGAGGTTAGAAGATAATCCGACAGAGAAAACTGTATTAGTATGAATAGTTAGYGATTGATACTTGGTGTGCTGGTTACTACTAAAAGCCAGGTGGAATGTAAAGAAGTGGGACCAGCTGAGGACTTCAGGAGGCTATCACTGAAAATTACAAGAACAGAACATAAACTCAGCTGTATAATCAAAAGTCATAATGAAACACAAGAGGGAAAACATGGCAGAATTCTTTAAGAAATTTTCGGATCTACTTTCTCCCCTGTTGTTATCAGTTTTTGAGGAATCCTTRGCTACACAATTATTGCCACTGTCTATGCGTCAGGCGGTAATTTCCTTGCTTTTAAAGAAGGATAAAGACCCCTTGAGCTGCAGTTCATTTCGCCCAATATCGCTTTTAAATACTGATKTAAAAATTCTTACAAAGATGTTGGCAAAACGAGTCGAACAGATTATCCCCACAATTGTTTCACCTGACCAGACCGGTTTCATTAAAAATCGTCAATCCTTCTTTAATATCAGTCGGTTGTTTAATGTGCTGTGTACTTCTGCTCCGCCCGGTCACAACTGCAATGAAATTTTAATCTCRCTGGACGCTGAGAAAGCRTTTGACCGGGTGGAGTGGAACTATCTTTTTAAGACCTTGGAGATGTTTRRCTTCKGCCCTAAATTTGTTTCATGGGTGAAGCTGATATATAACTTACCAATGGCAGCAGTACGCACTAACAGTAATCTATCCAGCTATTTTGAATTGGAACGTGGTACGAGGCAGGGGTGCCCACTCTTGCCACTCTTATTCGCAATCGTGATTGAACCACTCGCAGTGGCTTTACAGAACAGCCCTAAGATTAAAGGTATCAATCGGTTTGGCGCTGAACATAAAGTTTCCTTATACGCTGATGATACTTTTCTTTATATTTCAGATCCCTTGTCTAGTGTTCCTGAGTTACTTCTTTTACTTCAAAAGTTCGGAAACGTATCTGGGTATAAGGTTAACCTTCAAAAAAGTGAATTGATGCCTGTGACCCCAATAGAAGAGCAGCATATGGGTCCAGTTCCTTTCAAAATTAGCTCTGCCAAATTTAAATACCTTGGTATTTGGATTACTCACAGTCACAAAGATCTTTATACAGCAAACTTTCTGCCTCTCCTGGTGAACCTTAAGAAGGACATCGCTACATGGGCATCCCTGGGGGGTAGAATCAACGTGATCAAAATGACAATATTGCCCAAATTACTTTATCCATTTCAGAATTCTAATGTTTAAAATACCACTACATCACGTTGATTCTACCCCCCGGGGATAGAGGCAGGGATGCCCATGTAACTATGTCCTTCTTAAGATTCACCAGGAGGGGCAGAAAGTTTGCTGTTTAAAGAGCTTTGTGACTGTGAGTAATCCAGTTACCAAGGTATTTAAATTTGGCAGAGCTAATTTTGAAAGGAACTGGACCCATATGCTGC